AACAAGCCAATATGAAAGTTTCAGGTGAAAAGTTCCCCGAAAACAACACCCCCTGTTAACCATGTGTGCTCGTCAAAAGTTAAAGACACTCTCTTTTCGAGCAGCAAGCAACTGCTTTCTTCTTCTTTATTCTTCTGTCCTCCCCCCTTCCACCGTCACCGTCCACTGCCCTCTCCCTCGCCCTCGCCCCCGCCCCTGGCCCCCCAATCCTGCTCCACCCTTCGAATCCTTCCCCCTTTTTTTCTTCTCTTCCTCCTCTCCATGCGCTTTGAATGCACCGATTGGAAATCTCACCGTCTGTGAGCGGGAGCAGGTCGCACCGGATTGCAGTTGTGGACTTCGCTGGTAGTCGCCTGCACACACCATGATATATACCAACGGGAAAAAAAAAAAGAGGAGTAATTCTTTGTTTGTTAATAAATAAGCAGGCAGTTCTCCATTACAAATAGATAGATGAGTCGATGAACTCCAACAAAACAGTCTGTCCATCACAGCCCCTCGTTTGTTGTCCTCTTTTTTCTCCCTCTCTGCCTACGGTTCATCATGCAGTTCTCTATGATGATACCTATACACTCGACTGCAAATCACCGGGGGGGGTGGTGTGGGGGGGGGGAGAGGAACGATTAGTCGATGAACAGAAACCCATCATCAGCAAGCTCATCAATCACTCCTTGAAACATTTTTCAAACCAAGGAGTCGACGATGCATTTTTGAAACCAACAAATCAACGACGCGTTAATAAAGAAGGGAAAAAAAAAAAGGGTTACAGTTTGCTACCTTTTTGCAAACTACAAGGACAGGATGCAGACAAAGCTGTAATTTAAGGCAACATCCGCTGTTCATCGGTGCATTTTTTTTTTCTTCCTATTTTTCCTTTCATCAGAAAGCCATTAGCTTGGATCACATGCCCTCCCCCTAATCAGCACAAACTACCCCTTCAAAACAACATCCGTGATTCCCTGTTAAAAAAACGAAAAAAAAAAAAAAAGTAACCTTGATCAATTGGTAAGCACAGTGAAGTTCATTGGATGCTAGCAAAAGTGGAGCTCACCACGATGAACACGACAAGAAATGAAAATTCATTTGAAAATTGAAAATAAACATAGTGTAACACACTGAGAGGATTCACGCTGCAGACAACCAGTCCTGGTCCCAAGGTCCCGACAATTCCCAAGTCCCAGGGCCGTCCAGTTGGGTAGGCTGTAGGGTCTACAGGCCGAAACGTCGTAGGTCGGTAGGTGTCGGTATTAAAGTGTCGTAGGTCGGTAGGAGTCCGTCCAGTACCCGACAAGAAAAGTCCAGAAGCGTCTAGTCCAGTCCGACAGTCCCAAGCCCAATTTTGCAGCATGTCCCAGGAAAGTCCTGAAGCTACTGGACCGACAAAATGTTTGCAGCAGACAGGCCGCGGCCGACCAGTAGTGGCCTGAAGAAGGACATGCCAAGCCAAGCCAAGCCAAGCCAAGCCAGGCCAAGTCCTATATTTCGCTGCTACAGTGCCGCGGCTCATCGCTGCTGCTTGTGCGTTAAAGCAACTTGGGCACTGTGGGCCCGAAGAAGAAGAGGGCACGTGAGAGATACTCCATAGCTATGCTAGCGGTAGAGCAGGAGGACGGTGTCCATTGCCGCCAAGGTGTAAGCTACCTGAGTGGGTGTATCCAGGGCAACGATCTAGGGTAGAGAAAAGAGAGTGAGTGATGCAGAGCGAGTCAAGTCAGAGAGAGAGAGAGGAGAGGGGAGAAGCCATAGCCGCTATCTGGTTGAGATCCGTTGTGCGTGTGTGTGCGGCAGAGCCGCTGGAGACGAACATTCTTGTATTATATTCATAATAAAAAATAGAAACAACAGTGGACGCGGCATGTTTTGAGTTCACAAAGGCAGAAAAAACAGGCAGTCAGCAACTTTGTCATGGTCTGAGTTCGAAAAGGCGGTTGTAACTCAGGCCGGAAGTGGTGTCAGGGTGGCGGTTTCGTTAAGGCGGTTGTGTTTTTTTTTTTCCTTGGCGTCATTTTTTTTTTTTTTTTTGGCGTCAGTCAAGGTTGCACCCTGCCGACCGCCGACCCTGACCGCCGACCGTATTGCAGCCGACCCGTAGGGGCGACCGGTCGGCGATCTGCCGACCGGTCAGAAAACAACCATCCACTGATTTTTTTTCAAATCTGAGTTGGGGGCTGTACTGCACTTGCCGAGTAGAGCCCATATCCGCTGAGAAACTTTTTGGGATGGGGGAGGGGCATGCGGGGGTTGGGGTTGGAGCATACCTGCGGCGCAAGTGTGCTGGTCACCGATGCATAAAAAAAAACAAAAACGACTGTTATGTGTGAGAACACGCGCGCGCGCGCACACACGTGAGAGAGAGAGAGAGAGAGAGAGAGAGAGAGAGAGAGAGAGAGAGAGAGAGWAAACAAATAGCTCCTTAGCATTTATTTCAAACCCCCTGCGGGTTATCCGAGAGGCCCCTGCACACAATCAGCAAGGGCCACATTGCCATAAACGAGGTAGTAGTCATATCCATGCTAAAGTCATGGCACACCAAGTATATACGCTGTTGATTCACTCCGTGTTTCAGCAGTTATGGGAACAGTGATCACGCGAGTTTCTGGGCACTAGCAGCCCAACTCACCACGTGCTTTTCAGGGCTTCCCTCCACTACTCACCAAATGTGCAAAACTAGAATGAATCTTCTGCTAGAACATGGAACCGTACGCCGCCATATGTTTTGTCTTTTGTGCAAGTGGTGACGAGTGAAGGCCCTTACGGCCACACGCCCTAACAGACTCGTGTAGGAAAAGGAAACAAAAGAAAGAGAGGAATGAATCTTCTGCTAGAACATGGAACCATACGCCGCCATTTGTTTTGTCTTTTGTGCAACAAGTAGTGACGAGTGGAGCAAGGCCCTTACGGCCACTGTTCGTAGGAAAACGAAACAAAAGAAAGAGAGAGCTACGGTAGTAAGTAGTTGTAACTTTTAAGTTTTTAACCCACAACTGCTGGAAAGCAGATAGACTTCGGATCCAGAACATATATTGCTGGCCTTCTCCTCTTTCATACGAAATTTGTTGAACGTCTCTTGAGATGTTGGGACCCTTGCATATGCACTGCTGGGTTCCTCCGGGAAAAAGACTATTCAACAAGGAATGCGTGGGCCCAATTTTTTTTTTCTGTGGGTAGGTGCACCATTGGCTACCTCAGCCAGCCTTCTCCAAATTTTTCTTTATACCCTATTTAATGGGGTGCGTCGCATCACGTGCGCGTGCATGCTTACACGTGCGTTATGCGCCGCACATGCGGAGCTCGCGCGCACGCATACACCGCAGGTATGGGTTGGAGTATAGCGGGAGTATAGGGGTGATATAGGGGATATTGGGGGGTTTAATAAGGGTGTTGGGGGCGGTTCGGGAGTGTTGGGTTGGTGTATGCGGGTATTGGGGGCCGCTATGGGGGTGTGGGTGGGGTTATTAGGGGCTCTGGACCCCCCCAAAAAAAAGTGCGGGGTGCTGATAACCCCCGACCGGTAGTTGCCGACCAGCCGATCGGTCGGCGGGTCGGCAGCCGACCAGTCAAGGGCCGCCGAT